GTTTGGTGCTCCATTTGGAATGCTCGAGGCAGGGGCTGATATTGCTGAAGTCCGCTCGTCTGTTGATGCGAAACCAATCTATGCTCCTGCCGTAGAGATCTTGAACCGTCGAGGCGAGGTATCTGCAACGCTCGGTTGCTTGCCTCAGCTGAAGCCCTATGCGAAGTATCTCCCGGACCCGTTCTTCAGGCAAGGCGTGGAAGCAGTCCAGAATCTCGCCGGAATTGCCATTGCCCGAGTCAAAGCCAGACTGGAGAATCCGCCAGATATCGACAGAAAGGATTTGCTAGCACGGCTGCAAGAGGGTAGGGATGAAAAGGGCGAGCCTCTAGGTCGCGAAGAACTCACTGCGGAAGCTCTAACCCAGCTCATTGCTGGTTCTGATACGACTAGTAACTCCTCATGCGCGCTACTCTACCACGTCACAAGAACACCTGGTGTGCTGCAAAAGCTGCAAGCTGAACTGGACGCTGCGATTCCTAACGACATGTCCGTACCCTCGTACGATGCAGTACGGAATCTGCCTTACCTTGAAGCTGTCATCAACGAAACCCTGCGCCATCACTCCACCTCAGGCATTGGCCTCCCACGCGAGATTCCGGCGGATTCCCCAGGAGTGACTATTCGTGGGTACCATTTCCCTGCAGGCACCGTCTTGAGTGTACCGACATACACTATCCACCACTCCAAGGAGATATGGGGCCCAGATGCCGATGAGTTCAGGCCTGAGAGATGGGAAAATGTTACAACGCGCCAGAAGAATGCATTCATCCCCTTCAGCCACGGGCCCCGCGCCTGTGTGGGCCGTAATGTGGCCGAGATGGAGATGAAGATGATCGCAGCTACCTGGGCCAGGCGGTACGATGTATACTTGAGACAAGAAGTCATGGAAACACGTGAGGGTTTCTTGAGGAAGCCCCTGGCGTTGGAGATCGGCTTGAAGAAACGCGAGAATGTATTGTAAACCAACTGGGAAAGGTATATGTATGACGATTTATTCTTGGAAGCCTTGATCTTGTGTGTCCGTTTTTCTCTCTACATCATTATACGACATAACGCCGCGCTTGATCTTTCGTGTCTGATTTCTTGTTCTGTGACCAGTACCAGATCCACCCAGCCGCGGCCAGGAGCACAACGCATCCTTGGAAAACACCACTAGTGATCAATGCCGGCCGGTAGACGGGCGCATCTTGCGATCGAAACACCACACTGCTGATGATGCCTCCCAGGTTTTGCAAGCCGCTGATCAGCCCCAACGTCGTAGCCCGGCCGGAGCGGGAGACGATGTTGCTAGACGCCCAAGCAGGCACGAGAACGGCGGAGGTGAAGGTCCCAAAAGTGATGAGGAATGTGCAGAAGTACCCAACACCGATGAGGCGGGTCAGGTCCAGAGAGCCGAGGAGGATGAAGCCAATCATGGACACGACGGTGCTCAGGATGATGAACAGCGCGCGCTTGAAGAAGTAATCGGAGAGGATCGACACCAGGATGATGAAGACGGCGCCCGAGAGGTTCGGCGCGATGGTGTAGAGGTTGGTCCTGACGGTGTCGCTGGTCAGCCTCTGGATCATGGTGGGCAGGAAGTTGGAGACCGAGGCGCAGGCGACGCCGTACGAGAGGGCCATGGCGCCGTAGAACCAGGTCTCGCCCCGCAGGAGCGGCTCCAACGCCGCGCGCCACGAGAAGGCCTCCGCCTCGAGCTGGGCCGAAGCGGCGGAGCGGCGCCGCGCTGCCGCCTTGTCCTCGGCGGTGAAGTACCGTGACGACTCGACAGAGCGGGGCAGTAGGAAGAAGCACAGGATCGCCAGGAAAGCGGTCATAGAGCCCTCGATGATGAAGAGGTATTGCCAGTTCTGTAAGGGAGTAAAAATGAAATTTCCAGTCGTCAGCTCGGAAGATCGCCGGGTAGGTAGCAGAAAGGAGAATCAAAGAAGAAGAAAAGGAGAGGCAAGAATCGAGAAGGGGAGGGAGGGGTGGGGGGCCTCGGAAAAACCAGCACTCACATGCAGACTCCGATGCCACTGGAACACGCTCCAGGCAATCAGCCCGCTGAAGGCGTTGGCCACGAACCCCATCATGTAGAACAGGCTGATGCGGCGCGCGATCTCGGCGGGCGTGTAGAAGAGCGTGAGGTAGTACACGGCGCTGGGGAAGAAGCCGGCCTCGACAACGCCGAGGCAGATGCGCGCGGCCAGGATGCCGCCGAACCCGGTGACGGCGGCCGAGGCGGCCGAGATGGTGCCCCAGGCGAGCATGAGGCACGGGATCACCACAGCGGGCGAGAAGCGCCGCGCGGCCACCGTCAGGGGCACGTTGAGCGTGCCGTAGGGGATGTAGAACAGGATCAGGATCAGCGAGTACTGGTTGCTGCCGAGCCCGATGTCCTTCTCGAAGCCTGCTGTCTTGGCGTTGCCCAGGTTGGCACGATCCAGCGAGTGGGTGAAGTAGATTATCGCTGAGAGATTTGAGTAAGTATATATGTAGAGAGAGATACTACATAAATTTTATGTTTTTCTGTTCCTGTTGCTGCCCTCTTTTCCCCCTCCTGCAAATGCGTTGAGAATTTTGGACCTGGCAGTTCAGATTAACTTACCAAGAAGCGGAAGGACAAAAAGGTCGAGTTTCCAAACATATCGCCTCTCTGCGACTCTATCGATGGTAGGCCCCTCTGTGTCTATGAGGTTGGCACCCATGGATGTTTCGATCCCATCTTTCTGATCGGAAGAATCCTTCCTTATCTCTGTCATCTTTGAGTTCTGGCACAAACCAATATTATACTGCTGTCCATGAGCTTTAAATATCGATTTGGCTGTTGTATTGCCCTATCACCGAGGAAATCGGTTTTCAGTTTAGTTTCTGCTCGTGATGAAAATTTCAGACACCATCGGCCCATTATGTATCACGAAAATGCGGGAAATGAATACTAACCCCGACTCCTCCGGGGTGGGTTAGCCGATGATCGGCAAAACTTGGGATTCACCCGAACGATTACAAGTTAGAAAGTTCTCCACTTTGGCACATACTTGCAACCATCTTATCTCGCGTCTTTTGGAATTTATTGAGTGCTGAGAGCTTCTTATTGGATCAGTTATCTCCTATCTGACGCATCATGTTGACCGTTGCGATAGCGTTCTACTTTGAAACTTTGATGGTGTTGGGAACAAGCGAGGACGGCGAGGGGTTGAGTTCCCTAAGATGAGAGTATAGGCCAAACTTATCACGGTCGAATTCGAGAGCTTTCAGCTGTTCGAACAAAGCTGCCACACAGCTTGATCGCAGATAAATACAACGTGATGGTAGTCGGCTTCATCGTACCTTAGATTTAAGTTTACGATGCTCGTTCCGACGGAACAGATAGCAATTACTACCAAAGAAGATATTCGTCGCGCATATCCTATACTGTGGCACACCCGAATGTATAGACCAGCAAAAAAAAAAAAAAAAGAAAAAAAAAACCTTGCTTTGTCATGTAGTAACACTATTGCAGAAATTGAGTGACCTTGGACAATTTTTACAATTCGAGCAACTCTGCTTGAGCTCCAACCCTATTACTTGGACTGCTCCCATCTCTACGCAACTTAGTGCTGAGGTCAGTATAGTCCTCCTTTCCTTGGTCAGGCGTAATTATTGATAGCGTATTCTTTTTCAACTACAGACGCAGCATACAACCTGGGATAACTAGGAACAATCTTAAGGCGCAATGTTTCATGAAGGTCTGTGCTATGGCCCTGCATATTTCGACTGACAGTACGTATCATTGTCCCCATGGAAATATCGTGCTGAAGCACATCACTCTCCCCGGTAGTAATTTAGTTTTATATTGTGATTAACTAAACAAAGAGCTCTAATAGTATGAACTAGAGAAGAAGAAGAATCTACACGAATGAGCCATGTATACGCAAGCTCATAGGTATCCCGCTGATGATTATAGGGGCACGACCCACCTTGGTGGTGGGATGCGCGTGATTTACATCACTCGGCATGTATATATGCATTACCGGTACCTCGAATATTCTATGGAATGAATCTACTGATTATGTATCTAGGATATTCCACTAGATTAGTTACACCCTCAAGCATTCTACATGGGGATACTTCTGTGGGGAAAGTTTCATTATTTCTTTGTCCACATTTGGGGAGCGCTTTTCTTTGCCAAATTAAGCCACAACCGAGCCAGTCTAACTGGTTTTATCTTTTTGTATTGTTAGACCAGACTGCACAAATCTGTAACCTGCCTTTGTCAGTATAGCAACGCCTGTATAGCTAGGCATCCAAAAATAATACATAATTAATCCACCATTTCTCTTTGCAATTTCAATTAAGCTCTCTTGCTACTGAACATTCATTCTTCTTCCCCCCATATTGAGTAGCTATTATCTGTATTTGATAAAGCTTCAAAAAGAAAACACCACTTATAGTGAGTGAATGCAATACTGACCCCAGAATCATTGAGTGAAATCACGCGATGTCTCTTTTCGATTAGATAGGATCGCATTGTATATACTGTAACTCATTTACCTTAGGGTCACAAGCCAATGGGAAAACTTGTTCTTAGGCTCTAGAGCCTCGCTCGAGCGGTACTGCAGTCAAACTCAGACCCTGTGTCTGCCAGTACAAGTGGTCTTGATGGCTTCTGCTTTAGACAACTCGATAGCTAACTTAAACATTTTGCTCTAAATCCTGCCTGCTTTCGGATCTAGCACGACATATAATTAACACTCTTTCGATCACTGCACTGTATGCTAGGGAGACAGTGCAGAGGCCAGACATGCCTAACCAATTCTTGGGAAGCATTGCAAGGCCGATCAGGTCATCGGGAACCATGACCACCTAACGTTAACCCCAATTGGAAAGACAATCAACCACTCACAGAAAAGTGCACCACCACAAGTGAGGCAGCTAATAAGTTCCCACCCAAAAAATACTAGCAATCAAGCATACCGACCAGAAAGAGGAAAAAAAGAATTGCTTGACTTTGGCAAGCAATTGGGCATTATTAGCTCCGAAGCGGGGAATCGAACCCCGGGCGCGACGGAATTTCACAAGTGAAAACGTCAAATGTTAACCACTACACCACATCGGACTGTGGAGTTTTAAACGAGGATAAACAAACTTAAGAGATGTGGGCGTTATGACTCAACTAAATGATTAGTTAGCCCCCCCAAAATCATATACGCACATACCATGCCATGTGGAGTCGAAGCTACGGGGTGGGTTATTCACAGAATATTGAGAGCATGTACGGGGTCAAAGCGATGTGGTATAGAAGAAAATGAGTTTGAAAATGGGAAGAAAGCTCTGTTTTAGCTGTCTAGTTTCAGAATGAATAAGTTAACTGTATAATTTCGCTCTGGAGGGTTGGTGGCCTTCGCACAGCGAGCGTCGGAAAGAGGACCGAGTGGGATATATAAGATGCAGCAAACAAAAGCCGGGATGGAAAAAAAAATAAAAATTCAATAAGCGTGCATAAAAAACACAACTAGCAGACATTAAAAACTCCGGATCAATAGACAACCTCCCTCGACAGAGGCGAGCTCACCACGATGCCCGGCCGCGAGAAGTTCTTCTCAACCTCCCGGGGCTCCGGGTGGACGTGGCGCACCGAGTGAACAACGAAGCGGCCCTTCTTATGCTCGGCAATACGCTCGCCGCGCGCGAACTCGCACTTCTGGATGTAGGCGCACAGGGGGAATAGGGCAGTGTTGATGGCGACCCAGGTGAAGAGCACGCCGAGGTTGAGACCGATCTTGGAGTGCAGGTCGAACATGATGGAGCGCGTGGCCTGGCCGATGTTGAGGAGGGGCCAGGCGTAGCCCCAGCGGTAGAACCGGGGCGCCAGGTCGATGGGCGAGAGTGAGGTCGAGACGTTGGTGGCAACCCAGAAGACGAGCCAGAGCACCGTCCAACGCTGGCCCAGCAGCATGATGACGTTCTCCGAGGCCAGGCCCAGCGCCACCATGCCCACGAAGTTGACGAGCCAGTAGACGAGGAACGACGCGCGCCCGTACGCGCTCGCATTGACGGCCGTCTCCACGGGCGAGGCTGGCGGCATCCAGAAGGGGATCTGGAACGCGATGGACACCATCGAGTACGCCAGCGAGACGAAAAAGAAGAACACCACCGTGGCGAGCCACCTCCAGATAAGGAAGTGCAGAAAGCGAAGGTGGGGGTGACCTACGGGTGCCAAGTATTTCTAAAAGTAGCATCGCGAGTTAGACCAAGAAGAACAAGAAACCGGAAGAGAATAAGGGGTTGGTAGTGATGACGGGGTTGAGCATGTAGGGACGTCGAAAGAAAGGGGGGGGGGATCCTACCTTATGGAGGGGAAGGAAGAACGCTGACGAGAAGAAGGAGATGATGGTTATGTAAATGAGACCCGTCGTAACGCAGGGCGTCGCGCTCGGTGGCCAGAAGGGCCGGAGGTCGACCATCTTGGGCATGATTCCTGGATTTACGGCGCTCGACGCCGCCAGCATGTTGTCCTTGGAAATGGAGGCGTTGCTCATGAGCATCTCGGTCCAGACGGGGCCGAACTTGGACAGGAAGGAGTCGATGAAGTCCTCGAGCTGGGGCACGATGTAGCTGCTGTAGGTGATCTGGTCCCGCGCCGTGGTCACGATCATCTGCACTGCGCCCGTCGGGTCATAGGACGACTTATTGTAGGCGACGGCGTCGAGCAGGAGACCCGACGCGCCGGAGTTGACGATGATGGCCGCGTAACAGTGAAAGTCGTAGACGGCCTGGCGCACCGCCATCGGGTCGAAGTTGAACTGCTCAGGGGGCACGACCGTGTAACCCAGAGATGGCTGGCCGACCGCGTTGTAGAATTCCTGCGCCACCTCCCGCACTATGGGTCCCACGAAAGGATCGATCGTCTCATAGGGAGCTATCCTGCTGTCGAAGTCGGTAATGAAGACGGTCAGAGTGCGTATCTTCTTTTCCGCATTGAACAGCACGCCCCAGTGAAGCGCCATGATTCCCATTATGAAGAAAAGCAGTATGATGACTATATTAGTACAAGATCATAGAGTATCAGCAAAAAGTAATCATTTTTAAACAGAAAATCTCCACAAGAGGACGAGGAGGGGCGTAATATGATAAACCCTGGCAGATAGTACCTGTTCGAATCCACGTGATGAAGATATGCGCGCGGACTTTGCTCATCCGTTCATGCCAGAATTCCACCGTTGGCAGTGACTGGCCCCGACGGGTGTCGGGAGGAGATACGTTTCTGTCCATGACATGATCGTACACGACCTTGTCAATCCCGTCGTGCATCAGTACATCTGGCCTCGTCATCTCTTCGTATTTTCGGGTGAAGGATCGGTCCCGAGCCGCATACACAAGCCCCGACGCATCTGGTAAGTCCATTCTCGGCGGCAGGGCGAAGGGTGAGTAATAAGTAGGCGGCAGTCCAGTAAGACCAATCTGATGGGTGCCCCAGGGCTTTTGCACAAGATTCGTAATAGTGTGTGGAGGAGAAGGCTGGCCCTCGATGTCGGGTGTAATGGTGTCGTGACTGCTCAATCATGTAGGGAACTGAGTCGTTGAGAACGGGAACATGAAGGTTCGAGATGGAAAGCATGATGAGGAGTGCCCGCTGGCTTTTTACAATTGTCTCGACCGGGAGCCCAGGGAGGAAGTGCAAGACCTCGAGCGATGAGTTGCAATGTCCCCAGCCTCCGAAGCGGCCTAACTGGTTCGAATCATGCTCACATTTCTGGCGATCGTGTGCTCGGATAAAGCTACTTTTCACCACCAAGAAGATTCGGAGCATGCTAACAGAAACTGAATATTTGCTCCCCGGATTGGAGCAAAATAACAGTTGTGTGTGTATGTTATCATGGCAGTGCTGCTTCAATATCTTATTTCCGGGTGCAGCATTTCCACATCCCCCTGGGGCGGATTCGCATAGGACACCTCAGTTCAATAAACCCATCTAATCGCAAGGCACTAACTTAGGCGCGAGGTGATAAATTGAACAAGTTACGGAACTACATAGGGAGGACAAGTTTCCCGCCCACTGGGAGACACCCAATGAACGACTAGCAGCATGTCCGAGCTTCTTTGAAAGCCTTTTCTTTTTATTGCAGTGGTCTCATTTTGGCCATACTTTTTCATCCCTAACTCAAAAGGTTACACCTCGAGGAGTGAGACGTTGGTCTTACCTAAGATGCGCCGCTCAACCTTAAATCGAATGCTGCCGATAAGTCCGCTGGCCACCTGGATTTGTGCCTCTTTCATCATGATCGACATGACGTTTGCCAGGCCATACAGCTGCTTGGTTCCCTTCAAGTCTGCGTAAGTCTGCGCCCTCGTGGGGTAAGCAATTCATCTGTGCACAACTGAGTTAACACTCCATCATGGCATCAGCAAAGAGTGAACGGCAAGAGGTTTATAAATATATATACATACATACATATATAGTTAAGGAGTGATTCATCAAACGGAGTTGGGCTCCGGTAAAACTAGAGTAACTGGAGGAGCTGGAGTAACAAACAAAATTTATAGTCACTCACGTAAAGCAATGAAGGTAAGGGGCAATGAGTATTGTCGAGCATTCTCTTTATTTGTTTTGAGCAGCGTAGCGCCAGCTATATATATCTATTACAGCCAATGCAATCCGTACCAAAGTAAATCGTGCCGTTTCGTATAAACGGTTAGATGGTTCGCAGTATTTCCTCAACACTACTTCAGACAGGGCAGATGATGGCCCTCCTGGTTCCTTTCTTTTCTAACAGTAAAAAAATAAAATAAAACAAAGTTTCCTTCAGAAAGATACACAAAGTAAATAAAAACAGTCTGGCGATAGCCAAGTTCCCAATCCGAGTCGTAGTCGTAGTAGATAGAATGCTCCCAACCTTTGACGCCTGTCCTATCAATATATCCGTTCAACCACCCGATGCAACCGAAGAAACGCCTGTACAAGAAGAAGAAGTGAAACTAGAGCTCATTGGTGAGACGCTCGAGTCTGGAGAGGGTAGCCTCTACACTGGAAGCGAGACGCTGCACCCGCGCCAGCGCTCTAGAGGCAAGCGCGTCTTCTTCCGTGGCGTCAACAAGTTCGTAACGGGGGCTGCTGGTCTTCTCGGACATAACAGAAACATCAATAGAGCACAAGCTGTCAGCGATGGACTTGACCATCTTGGACTCGACAGTCGTCTCGTCATCGAAGATGTCAGCGTCAAGATCGGCAACGATCTTAGACTCGGACATGGAGATGGGTGACTGAGGAGCCATCGACTTGGCGGTCTCCAGGTCGACAGGGGCCTCGGGGATAACGATCTCGACCTTGTCAACGCCGGACTGGAAAGACTCGGGCTCGAAGTTGGAGCTCTTGCCAGACAGAACCGAGATATCAAGCTCGGGCATCTCGGGAGTCTCCAGAACAGCGAAGACCTGAGGCTGGTAGTGGAAAGAGTCGTTGGACTCCAAGTTCAGCATGGAAAAGTCCATGGTCTGCTCGGGCATCATGACCATTCCAATCTGCTGATGCTGCTGTGATTGGCGAGCAGCGGCGTAGGGGTTGACATCCTTGGGCATCTGTCGTTGCTCGGACTGGCGCTGCTCAACCTGCTGGGGCTGCTGCTGAGGCTGCTGCTGCTGGTTGGGAGCAGGGGCGGAGCTCAAGTGGTCCAGGAAGCCAGAGAATGAGGGCGAAGACAGAAGCATGCGGGTGAGATCGGAGAGGCGCTTGTTCTCCTCCATGAGAGCACGGTTCTGGGCACGCAGGTCGCCGTTCTCGGTAACCTTGCTGGCGATCTCAGACTCGAGCTGAGTGATGTATTCTATAAATATTTGGTTAGCAACACAACGACATGTAAGCGGGTAGAAGAAGGGAAAAAAACAAGAGTACGAACCCTTTCTGCGCGAACGGAAAGCACGAGCAGACACCTTGTTGCGGAGCTGGCGTCTTTCCTTGCTGCTCAACTTCTTGCCCTCCTCGCTGTTCAGCAGACGCTCATCCTCATCCATATCGTCCTCGTCCTTCTTGGGCCTGTTGAGGTTCATGGGCATGTTGTTCATACCCTCGGGGGAAGATGGCTTAGCACGCATGGAGTTGAGCAACTGGGTGATCTTTTG